TTGCAATAACTGCTGGCCTTGGCTTCTGTAAATAAAAATAGCTAGCTTGCTATAAAGTTGCTTGTCCTGCATCCCCTCCCCACCTTGGTCCTAAAACCAGGATGTGGTTTTTCAGTTTAAAAACCCTGCTCCCCCTGAGCTCATGGGTTGGAGAGACGTGAGTCCTCCGTGGCCGCCGGCAATGAAGTGTGGCCTACTTTTGTCTTGGTGTTAATTTTTTGTACTCGATCTGGTATAACACCATCTCCTCCTTTTAAGCCTCCTACTTAATATCTGCTATGTGATTATTTACTAGGAACAGCTGTTTTGAGTTTAAAGAGCGCTGAGCAGAGATCTTTTGCTAATCAATTTATTTTAACAGGTTTAAGTCTTTACTACAAACCCAATTTCCCTGCCACTGGAAGCCTGTGCTCCTACAAGCCTGTGTTGCCCAGATCCCCAGCTCGCCCCCAGCTTGCTGCCTGCTCTTTAGCCCCTTCCCATCCTGGCCTGAGTGCCTGCTTCTCTTGGTGTTTTAATTTATTCTGCATAAGTCCAATCTGATCTGGCGAAAGAATCTTTCTTTCTGACGTCCGTCCTCAGGATGGACTAAACTGATCACTGAGTAAGATCTGGCCATGTCCTTCCAGGCTTTGAGTCTCGTTTGGTAAAGCCATGCCATTAAAATAGTTCTGGCATTGAGAAGAAGTCAGCCTGACATTTAAAACAAACAAGGGCTGCAAGACTAAAAGCCTCCCCTCCTCTGCCTCTCCCCAGGGGTGCTCCTCACTGGGTGGACAAGGAGGGGTTCCAAGCAGCCTGTGAAGTGCGGGGCAGCTTGGAACACACGGGGCAGCAAATGATCCAAACAGGCAAAGAATGTAGTCTGGGAGGCGGCCAAGCCCGTGCCTTCGTGGTTTTCCGGCTGATTAGGAAGAAGAAAGGAAAGGTGAGCTTTGATCCTGGAACTTCTTCCCTGCCCTCTGCTAGCTCCCACCTTACCGCCACCCTGGGTTCTGGAACCATGCCAAGCAGGGCAGAAACCGAAGGGCGTTTGGAAGTCCACAGGGACTTCCCACACTTAACCGCTGCCTAATTTCATCTGCCCGCAGTTGTTCCCCGAACTCAGTGGCTCTGGCGCAGCAGGGAGAGGGTCTGAAGGACAGGCATGGGGCAGGAGAAGGTAAGTCATAGCAGGGGGATGCGCCCCACTACTAATCTCATCTCTCCAACATCGACTCCACCCAGGGCCATGGGCCAAGAGCCCCTGGTGGTTCCGTATCATGAGGTTCTGTAGTTGTAAAGTGTGGTCTCCTCCTGCAAGCCCATCTTTACATGGATCGCTGAGGGAGGAGGTAGCCCAGAGGCTCGCTTTTGTTTTCTGCCTGACCCCTCTAGGGTAGCCCTGCCCAGGACCCCTTTTCAGATGAACTTCTCACTGTCTTAACCTTTGGGACTAAGGTTCGTCTGTGGGTCCCACTGTAAATATTTATTAGAGACAAGTATCCAAGGAAGGACGAAAACAGCAATAACTGGATATGTGGTTTTGCCACCCACAGGATGAGGCCAGGGAGCATTTCTGTGCAGGAATAGGTAACTTGGGCTCATAGGAGTCATACCAGGAATCATGCCGTCAGACAGCTGACCCCCAAGCTCCGTTTTCCCTGCGGCACAGGTAGGGAACCCTCTATCACATACCTGACTTGGCCTCCTCAGAGGCCAACTCATGGGGAGGAATGTGCTTCCCTCACTTCTTCCCGGGCAGAGCCGAGGTGTCTGGGGCTGGGGGGCTCTGCCTCTCGCTAAAGTCCAGAGGAAACCATGCCTGTGGCCTCAGACATGACAGAGTCTCCCTTGGCCTCGGCCAGTATTTGGCAGTCATCAATCCCACCTGCAGAGGTGCCTGTGAGAAGGGCTCCTGTCCCCAGCCCCTCACATGGATTCTCTCAGAGATCACTATCCAGAATTCTCTGACAGTACCAGAGGGTTTTGGAGCCCTAATCCCACTATTCCTTGTCTGCCCTGCTTGGAACAGAGCTTATCTTTCGGGGATCTCTTTCAGTGGGCAGAGCAAGGGACCATCGTCTGAGTGTGGGCCAGGGCCTGTGCCACCTGGGCCAGGGAAAGCTCCGTAGGTCCTTCTGCCCAAAGGGAGCTTGGCCGGACAGGTGAGGGAAAGTCTGCCTCTGAAGAGGGTCTGAGAAGCAGTCATAGTGACCCAACCTTTTCGTGTGGCTTACTGACAGCATCAGCACCCACGGCCCTGATCCCTGTGGGAGACTCCCCACTTCAAAGCTCTTAAAGCCCTCACAACACACGTGAGTTCCTGTGGTTCTGGGGCACCTAGTTGCCTCAGGCCCTTGCTAGGCTCTGTTTCCTGGGCCTTGTCAGGACCAAAGTTTCTGCCACAGCTAATGAAACAAGACCAAGCAGAGAACAGCACAGCATCCAGGGAAGGAGGGGCCTGCAGGCCAGCAAGGGCCCATTGCCCCTGGGGAGGGGGCAGCTGCAGAGAGCTCCAACAGCTGAGAGGCTCAAGTCCCCAGCAAGGCGGCAGGCCCTTCGCTTCTTTCCAAACCTAAGGCTCTATGCACCATCAGGACCATTCGATCCATGTGCTTGGTTTCCACTCAAAGATGTTTCCCTTTCAACTCTAAGCTCTGGGCGGGGCAGGCAGGCTCAGGGCCCCTTTACTTTATGAATGAACCAAGGCTGACTAGGCAGGCAAGGATATATAGTCGCCATATATTTTTTTGGGGAGCAGGAAGATACTTTGGTTGTGGGAGGTGGGGTGTTAAGCCATGGCCCATAGACAATCAGTGCCCATCCAGAAACCCTTTGTGGTTCAGGATGAGGGGAATTTCCTGCTGGCTCTTACATTCCTGGAAGGTATATTCAATTAGCAGTAAGTGTGAACAAATGGGGCCTGCTCAGGCGCCATTCTCCAGTAGTTAAAGCTCAAATCCATCTACTTCCTTGGATGCATTCTAAGACGTCACTCAGTTTCCCAGCCTTTCGCTACCCCACTGCTGATACAGATCTTATATATGTGCCTCTGGGTCTGGTTCTGGCCTTCTTTAAGATCTAGTAAGTGTGTGCATTGCCAATGCCAACTATGTGTCAGTTCCATGCCAGGAGCCACCGGCGGGCCCAGTGGGGAATGAGACATTCCCTGCCCTATAGGGAGTCTGCCCTCTAGGTTGGGAAAGCAGATGAATGTTAAGGGCACAGTGCTGCCTTGGTGACCTTGCACGTATCCACATGTGCCATGCAGGCAGTCTTGAACCACAGCTAATCTGAATCAAGGCCATAGGAGTAAGGCCTTGACATCCTGTGATCGTCTCAGGCCACCAGAGGATGGGAGGCGTGACAGTCCCTGCTGGGAGCCCATCTCTCACTCGCGCTTTCTCCCATGGGAAGCTATCCTCACACACTGTCTTATCCCCTCTGGGGTCAAGCTAGAGAATATCGCAATGGAAAGAGCTCATTTCCACATCTCGGGATGGAAAAACTGCAGCACAAAGAGCCATGCTGGTAGATTCAAGCCCTGGTACCTAGAACGTTTGGAACACAGACTCAGACTCCAATTTTCCTCTGGTTTATTCTACTCCGCGAATGAAAGCATTTCTCTGGGTATCTTAGTAGGGAGCCAGTTCAGCATGGGGCGGGAGGAGTTGTTGAGGCAGGGTGCTGCGCCTCACTACTTCTCCTCCCCACTTCTTTGCTGACAGACAGATGGCCTGGTCAGGAACTGTCCCCTAAATGTAGCTGAGGACTGATAGCAAAAAGCTAATGAGACTGCTGGTGCTGGGTGGCTTCTTGGAGCACGTCCCCTCCCTTGTCCCCTCCCCACCCTCCTCCAGCCTCTCATCTACGGTGGCCCCTCCTGTTATTATTTAATAGCCCTGGCTGGCACCTGCCCCCCACGGGAGCTGTCAGTGTTGTAAGCTGGTAGAAGCCCATCCATTTTTTGCCTTTCTCTACCCGCAGGCCCCTCTCTGGTGAGCGGCCACTGACTTCTGCTCTGTAAGAACATGCTTTAGTGCATTCTGGGTATCACACATTCTCCTTTTTGCCTACTGCCACAAACCCCAAAACATCTCCTCAAGATGCTCACAGTTGTCCCTGAAGAGGCAGTGACAGCAAGCTCACTTCACAGGAACCAGGCTGTGGGCTGACCCTACAGACTTGAGAAGACAACTCCAAAAGGCATGAAATTGTCAGATCCTCACCCCCAAAGTGTTGCCCCGTATTAATGCCTCTAGGTGGGCACCACTGCGTGCTTTCCACGTGGGGCCTAAATCCTGCCTCCCTGGGCTGAGCGGCCTCCATGCCAACATGCTCTGATGAACATGATGCTCCTGCAATGCCTGCAACGCTGCTGAGGCCCAGCCCACCTCCTCTCCCTTTGGGACCAAGGGGTCCAGAACTGAGAAGCTTTGGGGGCCTCCCTCCAGTTTTCCCAGCCTTCGGAAAAACACCTCCCAGCCCCGCTTCATCCCGCGTTCCCATCCGAAGACCCATCTGGTGATTAAGGACCGTTTTCACGCTCAGAGGGGGAGTTGCGGCTCTGCCAGCTCCAACCCCTCAAAGGGCGCGCGGCAGGACGGAGGCAGCCTTTAAGAACAGTTACGCTGAGGCCGCAGCGCGCGGACAGTGGGCATGTGGGGAGGGACCTGGCGGTCCTCAACCCCCGCCCTCCGCCGCACCCCGCCCGGCCCGTCTCCCCGGCTCAACCCGCCTGGCGCCACGCTGCCCCTGTTAACCCCGGGGGGCGGCCACGCTGCTCTGGGTGGGGAGGGGCGGATGGTGCGGGACTCCGCCTTCCTGGACTCCTTCCCATCTCCCCAGCAGCAATCCTCCCAGGGCCATGGGCCAGGACCCGCTGGTGGTTCTGCATTCTGAGGTTCTGCAGACGCAGGGGGTAGTCTCCTGCGAGTCCATCTTGATTTGCAAAGCTGCAGGAGGAGGTGGCCTCGAGGCAGGATGAGGCAGCCGAGGCAGCCGTTAGGAACGGCCCCACTCCACCAGCCGGCCCGCGTGGCGGTTCCTCTGTTCCTGAGGTCCCTGCCGCTGGGGTGGGTGTGTGGGGACCTCGCCTTCCTAGACTTCTATGCCAGGGGCGAGGGCCACCTTAGAGGGTTTCCCGAGATGTCCCTGATTTCACAGGTCCTGCCCTGCGGGCAGGCTGCGCCTTGCCTCTGTATTTGTGTTGGAAAATGGTGCCTTCAAGGCTTTGTAAGAGGTCTGGGACTGAGCTGAAGAGAAGTGATTGACAGTTACTGTGGAAAGTCTCAGCTAATTCAGGTGTCTTGACCCTCCAGATTGTCTGTAGGGTGGAAAACAGCTCTGGAGGGGGCTGTAGAAATTACTTTCTCAAGTCTTTGGGCCGGAAGGAAGGAACAGTGCCTGGCCGAGGACTTTGGGCAGGAGAGAGATGGGGCAGAGAGCAGCCAAGGCCTACTATTTTCACTTCTACTAATTAGATCAAAGCCCTGCCCAGAGCTTTTGCGCACCTTCGAGTCCCATTCCTCCCCTAAACCATCCAGGTTCCATCTGCCTTGAAGCCAAAGGGTCTTCTTAGCTTCCTCAAGAAAAATTCAGGCCTGAGTTTCTCCACCAGCACCCTCCTCTCCCCGACAGAGTGGGTGGGCTGTATTTCTCTTCATATTCTGTTTCATTCCAGACTGTCTTGGACAACCAGCTTGTCCTCCACCCCTCGGGACCTCCCCTCCTACTCTGCCCCCCTTGACCACTCAGGCCCCAAGCTGAGGAGAGGAGCAGAGGAGTGAAAGAGAGGAGGTGAAAAGCAATGTCCTTTCCGCCTTTTAACCTGGGCCCCACTGGGAACTTGCAGGAAGTGGACGCTGATAGGCTGAAGCTGATCTCACCAATCTCTACCACCCTCCCCAACCCCAAATCATTCCTTTGAAATAGTGAAAGACCCTTTTAAAAATGTAACATGAATTGGCTATTTCTTGAGGCAAACAAAAGGTAGCCCGGAAGCAATCGCCTTTGTACCGGTATAAATTCATTAGAACAGAGAGCTTATCACCACCCAGCTTTCATTGTCAGCCCCAGTCCGTCTGTCTGCATGCAGAAATGGTCCCCCCAAAACCATCTGTGACAACTGTTCTCACAGATCATCATGATAAACTATAAGGGAATCTACTGAGAAAGGAAAGGAGAGCGGGGGAGTCGGTCTTTAATCAGCAGTTGGAAACGAAGCAAGAGTTAGCGAGCCTGACATTTAAAACGCAGATGTGCGTTGTGGTGGTCTGAAGGAGGAGCTATTGACAGAGAAACCGAGGTGGTGAACTCTGCCCTGGTGAACGTGGCTCACCCAGAAGCCAGACAGGGACAGCCCTACAGGAAAGAGGGGTATCAGGCTGGAAGGAAGTGTAGCTTGGCCCTGGCGGAGTGGCAGGGCAGCTGGAGGGACTGCCGGAGGAGGGCAGATCTGGAAGCAGGTCTGGGCTGTCCTTTGGTCTCAGCCAGGGAGCAAGAGAAGGAAGGCTTGTGTTTGAGGGGGAAGTTCACTCTCCCAGACTGCTTTCTCGGGAGCGCCAATTCAGATCACCTGGAGACAGGGTCTCCGCCCCATTACGGCATGGTTTCCAAATGGGGGTGTGCTTGGAAGCCTTGGTGATTAAAGGGTGTTGACAAAAAGAGTCAAACTCTGTAAAATATTTAAAGAGATTTATTCTGAGCCAAATATGAGAAAGAGTGAAGAAGAGTGTCCATTTTTAGTTAGCAGTTGGAAACGAAGTAAAAGTTACAGGACCTTAGGTTTAAAACGCACATGTGCCTGGTAATCACCCACGGCCGTGACGCAGCCCTCAGGAGGTCCTGAGAACATGTGCCCAAGGTGGTCGGCGTTCAGCTTGGTTTTATGTATTTTAGGAAGGCATGAGACATCAAAGACATTTAAGAAATACATTGGGTTGTTTCGGAAAGGTGAGAACTCAAAGCAGGGGCTTCAGGCTATAGGTACATCTAAACATTTATTTTTTTCTGGTTGACAATTGATTGAGTTTATCTAGAGACCTGGGATTATGGAAAGGAATGTTCAGGTTATGGTAAAGGATTGTGGGAACCAAGTTTTATGGTGCAGAGGAATCTCTCAGGTAGCCGGCTTCAGAGAGTGGGTTGTAAAATGTTTTTGTTTTTTTTTTTTAATAAACAAAAAATTTTATTTTTTTCAAATGGGTCAAATATGTTGTTATTATTACTTTAATGAGATACAGGCACATACAATGCTCTCAAGAGTAGGAGAATCTAGTTCTCCCTCATATTATGTTGATAAAAGAGAACAGTAATATGAAGCCTGAGAATCAGACCTAAAAGGGTGCCTGGCTCTTAATTGATGATTTCTTGGATCTGGGAAGGAAGGAGGGACAACAAAGGGGAAAGGGGATTCTCTATAGAATGTGGATTTTTCTCACAAGAGGATTTGCAGGGCAATTTCAAGGTATGGCAAGGAAATATATTTTGGGGTAAAACATTTTGATTTCCTTCCTTGTTATGCCAGAGTCAGGTTGGAAACTAAGTCACAATATAGAGGGTCAAATAAAACCCATCTGATGAGAATTTATGGTTTGTAGGGCATGTCTCCTCAGACCCCTTAGATAGGAATCTGGGCAAGGTAAAAATCAGAGCTAACTCCTCAAGGGAAGGGCTGCAGCGCTGTCGGAGGGCTAACCAGGCACCAGTTACTGGATCGCCAACTAGGCTTGGGAGAGTAGGGGTGTCAAGGGCCCCGAGAACAGGGAGGGCCTTGGCCCCACCAGGAGGAAGTCAGAAAGCAGGAAGCACTTGTAGCTCCCCATGATTCCCCTCAAAGCCCTGGGCCAGCTTCCTGCTGGGAAGGGCAGGAAGGAGTCCCTGCAGGGGCAGGCTTGCTTTTTTGGCCAGCCACCCTCTTCTTATGAGAAACAGAGGTCCCTGCTCCGGTGGTGCTGCCAGAAGGAAATCAGAAGCTCTAAACCAGGGGCCAGAACCTACAGAAGCTTTGAAGAGTCACATCTTGTCATTTCTAGATGTTTCTACTTTGGTTGACTCTTTTATTTTTCTGCAGTTAAAATCTATAAAATAGCAAGGAAGCAGGGGACAGGAGGGAAGCCCAAGCCTCTCCCAAAGAAAACGAGAAAGACTGAGTCCTCGGGGCTTGCTGTACAAAGGCGCGGGTGGGTTGGAGGAGGGCAGGCAGAGACCAGGGTGGTCTGGGACTTTAAGTACAAGGCCCTGGGGATTTCACGGGGGGTGAGCCATGCACAACAGAGAAATTCAGGAACCAGGGGGTTCACACAGAGGTCTGGGTGCTGTGAGGTACAGGGAAAGAATTAGTGGGTCTGGACCAGTGGGTAGGTGAGTCACGATGGAGCGCTGGTTTAGTTTAATCTCTGATGTGTGTTGAGTGAATTTGTGTGTAGTCCAACCACCAGCCCCTGCCCCAGCGAGACCATGTGCCCCTCGGAAGCTGAGACTCTTTCATTTTCTATTCCTCATAGCAGGCTTAGTGCCTGGCACTCTAAGTTGAATTTTATTGAACACATTGCATTTACATTAAATGGTCTATTTGTAAGTTCATTCTTCCAGACCTCCATTTATTCTTTTGTCCAGTCATTTCAAAGGGATTCTCTCAGCCCCTTCACTGGCTAAGGGAACCGAACTTCTCTTCCAGAATTGTCAGGAAATGGGACTTACTGCCTTAGCTGCTTGTTTTATCTGGACTTGACTCTGTCTAATAAAATGTATATGCACTTTGGGAACGGGTGAGGTGCTGCACGAGTGCAAAATGGTATTATTCGCCATACAGTGTTTTTGATTATAATAGATTATTCTCTGCCAAAACCCAGAAGGGCTAAGTCAAGTCAGGTTGCTGAAAGGGGAGGAAGTCTCAATAGCAGAATCGGACTTTCCGTCAGTTACAGTGGGGCATGGACAACACTCAGGAGACCAGCCTTGAGCTCAGCAACAGGGGAGCCACCTCCACAGTAAAGACCTACTCCTGGGGCAAGGCTTGGCCAAAGCAGGCCTCCTCTGAAACATAGCCCCACCGTTCTCCCGGCCCAGCCACCCCACCCCAGAGGTGCCGTCTAGAAGCTGCACGTCTGGGGTTGTTCAAACCCCTGGCTCACAGCACTGGAAGCACCTGAGCAGGATGATTTTACATGAATGATTAAAAATTGCTCTTCTAGATATAGCCTTGCCTCAGGGTAGCCATTAAGAACATTAATTCCGAATTTAAGAAGCTCAATGTAGGACCCTTTGGGCATTTAAAAAGAGGGACTTGTACTCATATCTTTATAAGCTGTAAAATGTCTCCCACCATCTTCTTGTTCCGTATTTCCTCTCCTGCTTTCCACCATTGCACTCCCTGGCACATGATCCTTTTAAAGAATACAAAAGAAAAAAAAAAGGAAGAAAATGAGAAGCCTATTGTTTCTTAGTGTCCCCCGATGTTAAACACACACACGCATGCACAATTATGTATTTTGTGTATTTCTTCTGGGGGATGGAGCCATAAGGGGTTACACATTGGCATGTGATTTTGGAGCCTGCACTTGAACTGGGAATTTGAATGTAGTTGAACAGACTTTTAACACTGCCCTGAGAAGAATGACGCTGGCGTTTGTCTGGTCAGCAGTGCCACACCCCGGAGTGTGGAGGGTCCTCACCAGCTCTGCGACTCACCCTGGCAGTTGCACCTTTCTTGGAGGGAAGAGGGAATTACTTTTTATAAGCAAACCCCAGAGAGCAATGTTTCAGCATCAATCAGTTTCTCAGCAAGTTTGAATGCAGATTGTGCTTCAGTCTCTATTATTGGGGTGCTCTCTGAGCTCTCTGGGGTGCCACCGAGCCAGGATCTCCCATTCTGATGCATCTTGGGTCTCTTCTTCCCTTACCTGCCTCTTCCCTGCTCTCCACTCTGAGCCAGCTAGATGGGTGAAGCAGAGAACCTGTCTAGTCCAAACTCCTTATTTTACAGATGAGGAAACTGAGGCCCAGAGAAGGACCACCCTCACCTCCTCCTGCATCCTCTCCTCCTCCCCTCCTGCCTTCACCCCAGTACCATCCAGTGTGAATGGTGCCCACCTTGTCTCTCTCCTAGTCCCGCGTCCTGCATTACTCTTTTCACAATATTTTTGAGTAGGTGGCCTGCCACAGTCTTGTATTTGGCATGGCAAAGGCAGACCCCTTTTCCTCCCTCCAGACCCCCAACTCAGCCACTGTGGGGGCTGTAAGGCCAGTCCCCACCTGGGTCCTTCTGTTCATCACAAACTCAGCACATGCTACTTTATCTTTTACCTCGTCATGTCCACAAAACAGGCCACAACCTGGGAGGATGGTAATTGACAATTTACGCTAAAAATTGTATTGAACAAAAAAATTCTCTTCTATTTGAATAATGACAGGAGACACAAACTTTGCCATTATGTTGCTCTCTCCTCAATTGGGACGCAAAAAACTCAATAAAAACGTTCTGTCAAAGGCTGGCAAACATCATGCCAGTCTCCCCTAACCCATTGCTTTCACTTGAAAAACCAGCATTTCATTAAAAGCAGGACTGTTGAGTGTGACACTTGGCAGGACGTTAATTTGTTGTGGGAATCTGTCAGTTTGCGGACAAGTACTTGCATGTTTTGTGCAGATGAGGAAACCGCTTGTAGAGTGGCCACACCAGAAGGCATTTGGGTGACCTGCTTTGGCCTTTGACTCTACAGAAGGAGAAACTGATGCCTGGTGAGAGGAAGGGACTTGCTCAGCGCCACTCACTGGTAGTAGAACTGGGGCTAGAACGAGACCCTCCTGACTCCCAGGCAGGGTCCCTCCTTCTCACAGTGGCAGAACCACAAGATGTTGACAGTGGAAAGGAGTTTGGACCAACTGCATCGAGAGAGAGCTAACTACACCAAAGAACTTGTCATCACCTCCTGAGAGCTGCCTGAATTGGAGGCTCAGGTCCCAGGAAGAGGTGACTCCTCTTCAGAAGCTGGGTCTGCCAGCCCATGCAAACACAGGGTGTCTGGTTCCCTCCCTCCGCTGGGGGAAGC